TTCGAAAACACCACAGTTTTCATGCAGCTCATACCATATTATTTTGTTGTATTAGTCCGCCACACCTTAAATGCCGGTCCCTGAAAACATTGTCTGACTTAAACCGGTCCGTGGGGCAAAAAAGGTTGGGGACCCCTGCTCTAAATTGTCCCTAGGTGTGAGTGTGAGCGCGGATGGTTGTTCGCCTCTGCCTGCCCTGCATTTGGCTGGTAACCAGTTCAGGGTGTCCCCCGCCTCCTGAAAATATTGGACAGAACCATCCATCATTTTCAAGTCAATAATAATCCATCCATCGTCCATTTTCGGAACCGCTTTATCCTCACAAGGGTCACGGGGCGTACTGGAGCCTATCCCAGCCGTCTCCGGGCAGGAGGTGGGGGACACCCTGAACCGGTTGCCAGCCAATCGCAGGGCACACAAAGATGAACAACCATCCGTGCTCACACTCATACCCTGGGGACAATTTTGAGTGTTTTGGAATGTGGGAGGAAACCAGAGTACCTGGAGGAAACCCACGCAGGCACTGGGAGAACATGCAAACTCCACACAGGCAGGTCGGAGCCGGGATCGAACCCACAACCTCTGCACTGTGAGGTCGACGCGCTAACCACTGGACCACTGGGCCGCTTGGACAGTTTCCACAAGAACAAAAATGAAGTGATCACGTCAAGACAAATGGCAAATACGTATCAGTGCATTGTTATGATATTCTGTCATGGATTAACCAGCAGAAGCCTGGCATGTATGGATGCCAGAATTTCAGTGCGTACCACTTGTCCTGAATACACTTTCAGGTGGTCTGATGCCTAATCCTGCTGATTTCGGAGAGGTAGGGTACTGATTGCCAGTCAGTTGCAATTTTTTTCTTTGTAAATTTATCAGTCATCAATTTTGAACCACAAGACAGCCTCATTAACTGTCATCTAAACAGTATCGCCTGAATCTGTCACTTTCTCAGCTTCTGCTCCTAAAATGTTGCCATCATTAGATTGACAATTCTCAGTTATTTACAGCTACTGCATGTGTGGAGTGTGGAGCTGGACCTGCTTCCTCATGGAAAGTACCTTGCATTAAAATTTGTTGTGAATTTGCAGCACGGCTTACAAATGAATTTAATAAAACTGAGCGTAAACCAACTGTCATTATTCTATTTTTGTTTAGATTAGATTTGGTTTGGTTTCATAATTTACTGTTATGGTTCTGTTCCGTTTGTGACCAACAGATGGCATTGGAGGACTAATGTTGCCGCACACAACGATCCAACTCCGAGTGGTTGGCGTGGCAGTCCTTTTAACTAAAAAAGAACTACTGACGTGAAGACCAACAGCATGCGAGGCTGGAGGAGAAGCCCTCCAATGCCACCTGTTGGTCACAAATGAACAGAACCATAACAGTCATCTATGAAACAAAACCTAATCTAACCCAAACAAAAACAGAATCATGACACAAACAGGACCAAAGAATCTATCCTTTGCATCCATTTGAATTTTAAACATTTGGGACTTGAGCGAAAATCCAGTGAAAAGTGCAGTCTAATTGCGCACATCGGTGGAATTTTCTTACTTTCTTTTGGTATTTTGCCAGATTTTCTGCTGGTAGAATTGGGCCAGCAGAATGCTCCGGAATGCCTAATGATCTGCAGCGCCGTCTATGAAATTCCCAAACACGTGAAACTAGACTTGCCCCGATACGAAAATTAAGATGCACCTATTTTTACATCAAGTGCAGTCTACTTTCAGTGACCAAATTATCAGGTGCGTCGGGGGCGAGGCAGGTCCATGCGCCGGAATGCCCAGAGAGGCACAACACGGCCCCAAAGACGTGAGACTAGACTTGCGCCGGAACCAAATGAAGTCATGCCCCTTTTTACACCAAGCGCATGGGTGCCTATGTACCAAATTAGAAAAGCAACATTTTCTGTGGTAGCTTACCTGAGCCACATGGATGTATTTGGTGATAACCTCTGCCCTGGTTGGAGGTGTCAGCTTGCTTAACACCATAAGTTGGACCCACTGTGAAACTCCGTTGAACAAAGCAATGGAGCGTTCCAGTGTTGGATTGTCCACCACGCAACCATGGATCACATAGCTCTTGTAATCAGGGAACTAGAGACAGAATAAAAGTCCAGGGAATGAAATGAAAGGTCATTTAAAATGTTACCCCATCAAATAAGAACGGTGGTCAACGTCATGTTGCTTTCAGAGGACGGTACGGTGAAAATTCCAAAGTCAAAAGCACCTAAAGTCACGCAAAGGGGAGTCGCACCAAAACTGCTTGCTACCAACTGGCTTGCATGATGTCATGCGGGACTTCAGCAGACCTCATCGGACCTTTAACTCATTAAGCATCTATTTAAAACCATGAATAACATACGTGTTTATTGCCTTCAGATATTTTTGGGTGTTTTTTTCCCCCATAACGTCCTCATGATTGTAGACGGCCAAGATTCAGTGTGTAGTGTGAGTCCTCCCATCCTCAAGAAGCCTGGTCTCCACCCAGAAACCCTCCACACCAACCCACTTATTTCCACCCTTTCTTTCCTCAGCAAGAACACTTGCCAACCATCTTCGGAGACCTCCAGTATTTCTGAGGCTGAGGTTGCTTATCTTTTGTTCCTTTTCATCTCCTGGCACCATAAGACAGATCGTGGGGGGAAACAGAAGAGCAAACGAGAGAAGAAATAAAAAACATTGCACTGACCGATATCCTCCTGATGGATTTAAATTCCAAAAAAGTCAGATGTTCCGCCAGCTCCATGGGTTCAAGGTGGTCAAACAACAGCGAAGCTTTGCCTTTCTTCGCCTGCTTTTTACGCTGTGTCAACTTACGCATCCAGTCATACGAAGGACTGCAAAGAACCATTTACGACACAGTCTTAGAAACCGGTTGTGTTGTTTATGTGTGTGCGTGTGTGAGCGTGTGAGAGAGACAGTAAATTGTAAAGACTCAAAGATTCACGTCAATCATGCTTATTTTTGTGAATGTACACCATTGAAAATACAACCACCATTAAAAAGAGTAAACAAAATATACAAATATAAGCAGTGATAACATTTTGGATGCTCTTTTTGGACTTACCGCTGACCTACAATTGCATTCTCAATTAAATGTGGATTATTCTTCCAAAAATGTGACGCCAAAGAAGTTTGTGAAGATTGTGTATGTTACATTCAGGGCCAGAAGTATTTGGACAATGACACTTGAGTTGTTTTATGATTATGGTTGAGAGTGTTACTGCTTTAACTTGTGTCCTCAGTAAGTGAAAGGCATGCTGAACGGCATTGGTGTCAAGCCACTAAGTACTTTTCAAATTATTTGTCTTTCAAGTTTCATTTAGTCGCTTCGGTAGAATGTTTATATTGTCCGAACGGTCTGCACTGTCAGTTTTACAGCATATGTCTTGATGTAAGCATGAAATGTAGGTCCTTGTGCTTCAAAATTCATCCGGGCTCCTCTTTCCGTAGCCACACCATCATCTCCAGCAAGCCCATTCATTTATTTACAAGCCAAGTCATCACATCATTTCGCCATCATGGATGACGCAGGATCCATGACCAGCCACTTCAGTGACTCAAGATTATTTGAAGACAAATACCAAGAGGAGGAAGATTATTCTTCAATAGCTAAACCTGACCTCAAAACAATAGAGCATGTTTTTCAGTTAGTGAAGACAAGCAGCAGCTTAAGACGATTGAAGTGAAGAGGTGAATCCACATAGTGGGAAGCTCGTTCCCTTATTGATTGATGGTTTGATGGATTGATTGAGTAGATTTATTTGATCAGCTTCGGTCAAAGAATTGAGAATTTTATAGGAAAACAAAGCAGACTGAAAAGGTGTCATTTCTTACATGGTGGAGATGTCAATCAGTTTGAAATGCTCCTCGCAGCTGAGCCTTTCAGCGACTTCTCTGAACTCCTCTGTTATTCGAATCAGACCCAAGTCCAGGTTGAACTCTGCAGGGAATGTTCCTATCCAGTACCTGGACACAAAATTAAGCACTTAACATTTGCGTAGCAACAGGCAACAACTCGGATGAAATATGAGTGTTAGGTTGATTGTTTTTAGTTATCATACATTTGCATATTATTAAAAATAAATTGATTATGCTTGCAATGAAGAGTGCTTATGCTTTTAATAAAAATATCATGCTTTTAATGAAGATATGCTCACATTTATAAGATAACAATGCTTAGTGCACTGGGGGGCAGTTGAGGTACGCAACCACCTTTCCGAGAAAGTGGTTGGAAGGAGATTAGTATTAAGACAAAACAAGAGCAAGGTCGGACGTGGACGAAGCAGTCAACACCAGCTGCAACTTGGTGTTTTTGTCATGACTGCACACATGAACGTATTTTTCACTCACATACACACACATAGTCAAACAAGTTCAGTGTGTCTTCAACAGCCCTCACCCTTTAGGTTGGACACACCCATGTATTAGATTCCCAATAAATGAGAGGGCGAGCGGGGAGATCCTGGGGTGACGTGCAGAGAACTGAAACCTAATGCTTCTCCTCGTACCAGAATTGAGTCTCCTGTCTCCTGTTTGTGTTTTATTTCTGAATGTCTAATAGATAAACCTGACAATGAGACATCTGTACGTCTGTGACCTCCTCGTGATGATTCATGAAATGGAAGAGAATGAAAAAAAACTTTGACCAGAAATGCACTGAATTGAAGTTTTAAGAGAAAAAGTGAAGTGACGTGTGATGGGCGTGTTCTGGCCTTACCTCATTAAGTAACAAATCTTCAGTCTTGTTTTATGGCAGTCATCATTGTTGCAGTCACGGTACGTAGAATTTAGTTAAGGAATATATTGGATTGAAAAATAAATAAATAAACAGTACCAAACAGCGAAAAGGTGAAAACATTTATTTCATGGTGTTTGTTTGTGTTTTGTTTTCAGCTCCAGCTGGAGTGGAGGGCGTTCCCCTCAGTGACGCACCTGTCAAACATTGTAATCATTATCTGTGGGCTTCTTAAGGACTACCATGCCGACAACCCAATGTCGGATTATTCGTCTTGCTCACTTCTCTCGCACCAAGTGAAATTCTCTGGACGCTCATGATCTCGTTTCTCCGTTTTTGTTCTTGTCATAGTTTGTTCTTGTCAGTAATATTTAGTATTTTATTCAAAGTATTATTTTGTGTATCGTCGCGATTGGATTTTCTGATCAAAGCGATTTACATTGTTTTGTTATTTCTTGCCGTTTGCAGTTGCTTTTTGTTATTCACGGTTATCAAAGCTCCAACTACCAGCAATCTCAATTGTACTTTGTCGGTCATGCGCCTATTTGTAAATAAACCTTTTGGTCAAAGAATTTTATCCTTGTCTACGTTTTTGGGATCCACTCCTATTCAGATTATTGTGGATCATAATAATTCATGACTAAGTTTCATCTTTTTTTTTTTTCAAATCTATTAGTGACCAATAACATGAACAATGCAACTTAAGAAATTTAGCTGTATTTTTGTTCCTCTTATTTTAGATCAACACGTGAAATGGGCATCAAATACCCAAAATATGATCAAAAATGTCATTTGAAATGGGGATTCACGACAGCACAAAGCCACTGGGACAAAGGAGACAAAACTGGAACTCTTTTGGCAAATCATATCATATACCTATGTCTGTTATTACTTTACTGTTAGTAGGGCAACATTCAGCACAGGATGCCTTGAATCAGAAAGATTATCCCCATATCCGACAGCTTCGGTCCTCAAACAGGCTTACGATCCACAACACAGAGCCCAAAACACCATAATTAATTTCCACCAGCAAGTATAAGAGATCAGCGATTCTATATTTTACATAAATTATGAAGGATATATCATCAGCAGTTTTCCAGCCAGTTCGGAAGATGAAACATACCAGCGATGCATCAGCAGGAGCATGCGAGGTAGGTTGGTCTGCAGCACTCCGTTGTCATCTGTCAACAAAAGTGACCAATTGAAACGATGAGTGGGTGGATTGCTTCAAGATGCTTGCATTGCCCATGAAAAATCGTCTCAGCTGACAACCACAATCAGGGGACATGAATATTTGCACGTATTCTTCTCACAGGTGAAACTTCAGCTTGTACAGGTTTAACCTGTGCGTTCTTAACATTAGCTAATACAATGTTGGGCTAGTGGTTGTGTTTTGTTTCTTTTGCTTGCTATTAAGCAGTGCTTCTTAATTATTTTCTGTTATGCCCCCAGCAGCGAGAAGAAAACAATATCGCCCCCCACACCCACCCCCACCCTGCCGTTGTTATAAGTACACATCTGCATTACATTGTATCCTTATTAGCATTAACTCTTTCATTCCACAAGACGTACGTCTTTTTCAAATTAGGTCTCGCCTACCAAGGACGTACTTGTACGTCTAATTTTTTTTTTTTTGCGTTATAGAGAGGAGGAGGGTCTGATGGAATCTGTGAATGAGAATAAGCCGTTTGCATTGTAAATCATGTAAAATAGTATGTGGCAGTGGTGCCTCACGTGCTTGAGATGCATGCTTTTACAAAAAGCTCTTTTTCTCCGTTTTTTGCCCAGGAATTGCCATTTTCATGAAACGTAGCCATTTTGTAATGCTGATTGCTGAAGAATGGAAAAAGATAGAAACTATTTGTTTTTCTTCTGAAAGGAGAAGAGTCCCAACTTTAATTTGGTAGGCTACATGTTTATATAGCATTAGAACCAAATATTCTGTGGGCCTTGCAAGATCAGTCAAAATCCAGTAAAATGCTGGGATTGAGGGGGTTGCTCCAGTGAAAATGGCTGGGATTGAATGAGTTAAAGGAAGGAAAAAAGAAAAATATAGTTCTACTTAGATCAAAGAAGAATTTTATCAACACTGTTTTTTAGTCTCCAACAGAAAATATTTTAAGTGCATCAAATCCTTGCTTAAACCATAAACATTTTGGACCAACTTATTGCACCATTTCATTCTGAAAACTAAAATTAAATCAAATCAATAAATAACAACAAAAAAAAAATCTAATTCAGTTCAGCCACATGAACTCGGGAGCACAATATAGAAAATACTTTAGTCCACAAAACAAAAATGAATAAAACAATTTGTGCCGATTTTTTTTTTTTTATCAAAATGAGGAAGTCAGGATTGCTGGCTACAATGAGCGTGTTTGGCGGTGAACAGCTTCTCCAGCGGCTTATCACCGTGATTGAGGTGTAATGTCTTGAAGTGGCGCTTCGATTTATTTGGCTTTGTGACTGTCCGCAGCCACTCAACACACCTCATCCATCTCCCACTGTAGGCACAGTGAAGGCAAGCACTACATATGCTTCGTTATATTTTCTTGTCTTAGCTTTCAGGTGACTTTCTTTTGTCTCGTTAACTTCATCTCTGTCGGCCTTTCTTTTCATCCCCGTGAAAAAAAATGTACATGTGGTCTCCTGAGGGTTTGTTGATTGCACCTTCGAGCTAATACTCCCTGCGCACTCTCTGACAATACGGGGCGCCACTGCCAACTTCTGTAGGGGATGTGCAATTACACTTTATTCCTGTACGGCAAACAAAAAAAAAAAGCGTGTTCCCCAGAGTCACACACGTCCTCCCCGGCATCGAAACAACGCCCCCCTAGGGGATCGCGCCACATTATTTGAGAAGGACTGCAGAATGCTTTCTCCCATAGTCACTGTTCTGTTGACACAAAATACATAGTGGAACTGTGGGAACTTCGTCCGATGCATCCAGTATATAGTTTATGACTAGTCAGTTGAATACTCACATTCATACCCACGATCCTTTAATTAGCCTTCCAAAATACCACTATGTGCTAGCTAGACTAACATGTTTTTTAAATTTTATTTTGCATTTAATTCATCCAATCGTGTTTTTCCTTTGCTGACTTGATTTTGAATACTGTAATGAATGACATTCCAACATTGACATCCCTTTAATACACAAAAGAATTACTTAACAAATATGAATAGCAATAGTGTAAAAATGTTTTTTCAGTTGGTCTGAAATGGATGTTTGCTAGTCTTTGAATGTATTTTTCAGTTTGAGTATAATTGTGCGCAACACTCACCAAATGCATGTATACATTCCTTTATGAGAGCATCAAGAGTAGCTGCCTTTCCCAGTATTGATGATCCCATGTTGATGAGTCGGAGGAAGATGCCTTCACTTTTCTGCACCAGTCAAAGTATTCCTGAGAGCAGAAGAGAGACACACTGTTAATGGAAGCAGAAGATATGCTTCTCTCATTATCTGTTATCAACAACAGCAGTAATTTTCCATCCATCCATTTTCCGATCCATTTATCCTCACAAGGGTCGCGGCGGAGGCTGGAGCCTATACCAGCCGTCTTCGGCTAGTAGGCGGGTGTACACCCTGAACCGGTTGCCAGCCAATCGCAGGGCACACACAGACGAACAACCATCCACGCTCACACTCACACAGAGAGAGGGACAATTTAGAGCAGGGGTGTCAAACTCATTTTTGTCGTGGGCCACATTGTAGTTATGGTTTGCCTTGGAGGGCCGTTATGAATTTTGGGAAACCATATAAATGTTTAATGCCCTCCACATATTACATACACAGCGCACAACAAATTGATGAATAACTAGTTTTAAAATCAGAAATCAAGAATAATGACTGTCATTGTGGATTACATATCACAATTTGAAATTTTGGTTCAGACTTTAGCAAGCATCATGGAACTTGACATGCTTGATTTGCTTTCGCGGGCCACATAAAATGATGTGGCGGGCCAGATCTGGACCCCGGGCCTCGACTTTGAAACATGTGATTTAGGGTGATCAATCAGCCTGCCATGCATGTTTTTGGAATGTGGGAGGAACTGGAGTACCCAGAGAAAACCCATGCAGCCCTGGGGAGAAAATGCCGGAGCTGGAATTGAACCCCTCTGCACTGTGGGGTCGGCGCGCTAACCATTGGACCACTGGGCCGCCCAGCAGTAATTTTGTTTGCACAAATTCATAAAAAGCTGAGCATTAGATTTGTGACCGATATTTATTCGAATAGAGAGATGTTCTAACGTCAGTTAAATAGTTGAGTGTTCATTTGTAACAGCTGCAAGTGAAAGCGAAGCACGTTTCTCCTCAAAATGGCAGCTCTGTCCAGTGACAGACACTTGCATTGGAAGAGGCAACAACCACACAGTTAAAATGTACTGTATATCTTTTCGCGAGCAATAACATCTTGTCAATATAACAATTAAATCTAGGCGCCAAGTGTGATACAGTATACAGTATCTTTGAGGCAGTCCTCTGAAAACAACTCGTACCCCCACAGAGCAAAGAAAGTCAACTAAAACAACAACGGCGGAGACGGACAGATAAACAGTAATCTGTAACAATACATATTTACATATTTATGCATAGGGTAAATTGACACTTTTAAATCTAAAAATGGATCCATAGTGGCATGGTAGCTGATTGGTTAGCATATGAACATCACACGTATTAAGTTGACCATTCAACTCTGGGCTACGGCCTGCCGATGTGGAAGTGCTTACAACCCCCACTCCTCTGCGATTGTGTGGGTTTTCTCCAGGTATTCCCGCTTCCTCACACATTCCAACAAGCATGTTAGGATCATTGAAGACTCTGAGTTGTGCATTGTAAGAATGTGTGTGTAAGTATTTGTCTATGTGTTCTGCGATTGCTGGAGATCAGCATATGGTGCACCCCGCCTCTCACCCGGGGTCAGCCGGGATATGCTGTAGTCTACCTGCGACCCGAGTGAGGACAAGTGCTGGAGATAATAGACGGATGGAAATTGATTTGTGTCAGGCAGCAGCAGCAGCGGTGAACAAAATGTCTCAATTGCGATAGATTTGTTTGAACAAAGCTCTTTTCATTGCAAGCACACGAGTGGCTCCACTCCACTTTATAGTGATTGTGTTTGTCTCTGTGTTCACAAGTCGGGGGGGGAAAAAAAGTTAATATGCAGTCAACAGAATTTAGCGGAAGGTCTGATCATAATAGTCACATCAGCCATACAAGTTTCATCTGGTTATTGTGACATCGATGGCAATATCAAATGACTACGTTTGAAATTGGATGAATTCAAATGAACGTACACTGAAGGTCACAATTTAATTTTTTTTAACTTTGACTGAAAGATGAACATCATACTTCTCGCTGCTTTTTCTGCTTTATGGCTTGACTCTGCACGTCACAGTCAGCTGTGCCCTTTAGCATGACTTGTTATTTGCTGCTTTACAATGGCTCGCTGTGTCCCTGCCTCTGGTTAGCAGATGCGTCATTGTGTATGCTTTTGCGATGCTCAGCTTCTAAGTACAGTACACTCTCACAGATGCACATTCAGGCAGTATTGATGGCACTGTAAAGGGACACGGAGCAGTTTGAGCCCTGACACAAATAGACATCTATTTAAAACAACAATATTGATTCGTTTCCATTTAAAATAACTGCTTCAACTTTACCGCGATGGTACACTGGCTCGCAATGAAAATGAGAAGAGTGGCTTTGTGATTGCCATGGCAACCCTGGTTTGGGTATTTTAACCGTCCATAAAATATCTCACGCTCAGTTTACACACGTTTCTCTTTTGTGTACAGCGTTTATACAAACTTTTACACATACTTCGACGTTTTTCCACAGTTACAAGGACCGAAAACGACCATTAATTAACTTTTGCGTCATTTGCTTCAAACCATGTGTCTGTCGATCGCTTAGCATGATGCACTTTTACGATTGTCAAACTGTGCAGTAGTCAACACGGTGCCTTGAATGAGTTTTCACTTTACAACCCCAACCCAATGGCAACCTTAGAGTAAACAATATATCTGTACCGCTATATTCGATCACTTAATAAACATGAACAGCTGTATGTGACATTTCGAACAACGAAGTGATCAGCAATGAGTTTTGGAAACAGGGAACGAGTTCACAATCCCGCAAACTTGACACAAACTACAAACTTTAGAAACAAATTCGAGCATATAATAGATCTTACCCACTGAAAAGCAGAGTGAGAGAAAACCATCCGGACCACTGAAACAACTGATGTTAGATAGAAGCTAGAGAAGAGCCGATTAGAGATACGACCTCCTCCTCCTTCTCTTTCCTCCTCTTGTTAGTAAACACAGCGAACCTAAACAAGAGGATCTCTGCCATGTGACCACATGCACACACTAAACACACGCGCCCTTAAATGACAGCGCGCACGCATGCACGTACACACGCGTACACGGTACTCCAATTATAAAAATACATATATTTATAAAAGGGAGTTTGCAGTCCCCCGGCACTCCAAAAAAATGTGTTGTCATATTTGGTAAAACTGTCAGCATGATTTGACAGTGGTAGACGAGTAAAATAATGTATGAAAAAAAAAAAATCAGCCCTCTGAACCGATCTTGTGCCTCTTATTTTATTTGCAAAAAACCACTGTGCTCCAAAAAAAAAAAAAAAGTCACAGGCAGAGGGTATGTCAATCATTTGCCGTACACCCGTCGTGGTCCCACCTTCATGGCCACATGGTAACAACCTTGGGCCCAAGGGTTTTGCTGAAACTACTGTGAAATATCCACTTCCGGGGGCGGGGGGGCGGGGCATCTCTAAACTAGCCATCACACCAGCAAACCTGGCAAATGTATTTACATGTTTCCAGCTGTTAAATGGAAGATAAATGGCGATAGTGTTTAGCATGAGCCAAAGTATTTTGCACAATGACCTTGCAGCAGATTACGATGTTCAAACATTTTTTTTTTCTGTCAGAAGAGTTTTGCCACAAAAGTGGAAGTGCTTGAGGGACACATACCTAGTGGAAATCATTGTCCACCCAGTGGAATGCTGTAGTTGTCAATCAAGCGAAGCCCCTCCCCTTCTCCAATGTTTGTGAATGAAGCAGCCATGACCTGTTAAAAACTCCCGTGATCAAACTCCGGCGACTAAAGTGAGGCGGAACGCTCATCCCGCGTTTGATCTGAACATAGCCTAAGCCTCAAGGATCAACTGTCAGAAGTTATCAAAGTTAATGCTCAACATTCATCATAATTGCTTTGGCCCAAGCACAAAAAGAGTGAATAGGTGAGTTTGTCCACAAATAGCAACCCAAGCCCCCTTCCCACAGCCAAAATCCACAAAAACAAGACTTCACAAATTTCAAACTAGGAATCTCAATAATTTTGTGTTTCTTCCAGAACCAAACAATTTAAATGTTGCCCTCATGGCAGAAAATGAAGCCACACTCAACAGCCTTTGAAATCAGCAAATTAGATCTCAACAGACCACTGTAAAACCAGAGCATGGTTGGGAGGGCATATGATAGGCCGAGCGTGAGATTCATGTTGAGTCTACTGCCGCAGGCGAACTTGGGTTCAGACACCTGGCAAAACATCTTCAACAGATAGTCTAAGTGAGTATATAAAATAAACGCCCCCCTCAACAGGCTGGTAAATATCAGTTAGCCTCTAATGCAATGACTGCTATTAAAAAAAAGCATGAGGTTCTGTCACCAAAATATAATAATTTACTGTTGGCCTTATTGATGTGGTTCATTATTTCTAGTGAGCAACTCAACCGTCACTGATGTTGCATCAGTGATGCCTCAAAGCGGCACAAATAGATCCCTCCCTCCATTCACCTGTCCGTCAGAAAGATGACATCAGTCTATGATTGTGGCAAGTTAAGCTACTGCGCATCCACGGCAATGGCACAAAGTCAGCAAAGGCTCAATTATCGGATGTGAGACTGTGGTGTGGGGTGTGTAAGAGATGCTCTTTTTTCATCTGTGTATTTTCCAGCAGTCTGGTTGCTTTGTGGCACCTTGCTACCGCGCAGGTCAGTCTTAGGACTCGGGCAAGTTTGGGGGAGGAGAGTCGAGATTGTAAATTGAAAGTATTGCTTTGTGTGTGGTGTGTGCAAACTGTCTTGAGTAAACTGAAGATGGTGGCCAATGTGTCCTTTATGAATAAGAAGACATTTCTCAGATGCCGATGTTTCCTTGCAACATTGTATTGCCGATTTTACAATGAGGCAGGGCTGTGGTCAAGTCCACTTTTATCAAGTCCAAATCAAGGGTTTGTTGTCAACGATTCACGATTAATCAATCAGATGGAGATTTTGATAATCTGAAAAACTTTATTTCAAGCTGCTTTTGAGGGAGTCTTGATTGAGTTTGTAACAATATTTTGAGAGTTCGTCTGAGACACTTCAG